TCTCGCTACAATAACTGTTCACTCACTCACTCACAATAAATAAGGTTATTATGTGAGAATTACTGTAGCTTCTCTGTCTTTCGACCAATGACTTCAAGATTTACATTTAAATATCACACTTTGATTAACGCATTCCAAATAGTAGTATCTTCCATCCTCTACGAGACAATTATTACAGTCTATAAAGTGTTTCGTAACTACGCGGAAGTTCATCACTATTATGTTTAAATTTTGACTGAATATTTTGAATGCTTAGAGTCAATCAAGTATTACTGAGTGCATAGTAAGTACACTTTATAGTGAGTCAATAATGTCATCTTTCATTCCACTTGGGTTCATGTAGACACATAATTTAGTCGTTGTTCATTTGGTAGACACTGTAGTTTGATAAACCTAATTACTGCAGTCCTAAATATCACATTGTTTGTTTTTCGCAACAAAACGCCAAGTAAGTAATGGGATGGAGGTGGGGAATTAGTGGTAACACGTTACAGAACAATTCAGTTTTATTGTGATACATATGTAACAAACTGATTGTTTTGCTTTACATTGTATCCTGCTAATCACTCTAACATCGTGATTCGACTGAATCTCTGAACAACTACCAGGATCTATTGATCCAGGACTTTTACCTTTTAAAATTACAATCAAAAGAGAATTTATTATTTATTTCAGCACAGTTTAATCACAATAAAAATATATCCTGCGACCATTATTGTTCTTACATTCATACTGGGAATCAAAATAAAATAAAAATCCAAGATCAATTATTTAGGTAGGTGTTGACAATGTTAGTTCGTTCAAATTGATTTTTCTTCCGGAACCTTATACTATTATAATCATAGTAGTTAACGACAAACAAGATACACTACTTCATACATATGCAGAAACTTCTGAAAAACGTCACAGAAATGTACTTTCTGGCTAATTCAACTATCTTAATGCCCACACTACATTATGCTTATGGAAGCTGATAAGCCTATATTATTTTACAGATCAAATATGAATAAAATTAAAGGTTTAGTTCATTAAATCATTTATTAAAATCGCCTTATGATTTACTGGCACTGACAATGTAAATATTCTTATTGCTTTGAACAAAGACACTTGAATTTTTTAAAATTTTTTGACAGTGATCCTATCGTATATTGTGGTGTGTGCTACGTATGTTGTCATAAGTAGTATATAACGCTAATTAGGAATAGAATATCTGACGGCAGAAGGTTAAGAAAAGAGAATGAGAACAGAGAATGATTGGTATGGAAACGAAGTAACAATCAAGTCTGAAACAATTGACTGATATTTTGCAAATGAAGTATTTACTGTATGGTCCTCAGTTTCTACTAAGAGATTCTGTAGTTTTGTATTCGCGTATATTCGATTGTCCCCACTTGTCTCCCCGTTCATCACAATATGACTATTAATATAATGCATTTGAGTTTAGTGAATTATAAACAAGCTTTTTGTCTTTATTTACATCTGAAATGCAAACAAGTTAGAACAATTTCTGTGGAGTTGACATATCGGAACAAGGCGAGTTACACAGACAATCAGACTTGTTTCATACTAAGCTTCAGAACACGATCCTAATTGTACGCAAATATTGAAAGTATGATATAATTCCAGCAATTTCCCAAGTCATTGATAACCTCAAACTTTAGATGCTTCTTAGTTTCTGTCGGTATGGAAAAATTACTAAACATACAAATATATTGACAAACTATTCTGTATAAACGGCGGCCTGCTTGAATATCTGGGCTACCTGTTCCACCGATCTAGATATTTCATCAAGTTATCTGTTTTGTTGTTTGTTTTAGCACATCACTATGTCTATTGTGCGCACAACCTATTCAGGCGCGTTTATGAAAAGTTTACAACCTTTCGCTATACGGGATACAAGAAGGTACAATCAGAGACATCATGGTTGCTGGCAATATGCATTGAAACAAATGAACAGTAATCAAATGTGGATTACCAAACTTCTAACATCTAACTGGTCATCATTCAAAATTTATCGTCACAATCGATCAAGGTATAAGACAAGAAAATATTTGATGCTGAGAATTCTATGTTGTACCAAAAATATAATGTTGAATAAAGCTTCTAATAATAATAATAATAATAATAATAATAATAATAATAATAATAATAATAATAATAATAATAATAATAATAATAATAATAATAATAATAATATTTGAAGTAAATCTGAGATTATCTCTGATATAGTTCCGCATTTTATGCAAAATATTAGCTAATAAGATTTCAGTGAAGCCTAGCGAACCTACTTCGAAATTTCGACCTAAGGGAAAGCACCACATGATGAATTGGTTGAATGAATATAAAAGCGATTACGAAACAGTGAAAATAAAACTATAGATATCTGAATTTTTGTGGTCAAACAGCTTATGAGTATAAAAATTTATTGTACCCACAACAAGATGTGAAGTTGTCGTTACAAATATATAAAATGCCTCAGTGGCATTGAAACAAACAGCTGACATTGTAAACTTGATTAACCAAAAGTCTGTCTTGAAATCAAAGTTTCAACTTAACTTGTCTAAAATAAAGCAAATGTAATTTTCCACATCTAGTCGAACCATCGCATCCGATACGAAGCTTTAAACATTACAATAGACCATGTAAACACTGTTCAACCAGTAAATTAGATGTATATTGGAATTGTAATACAAATGATTCTTAAGCACTAAATAATGAGAGGAGTTTAGCAGATGTCCTTTGACAAACGTTTTGCTTCAGTAATCAAAATTCATTTCCAACATTTATATATAAACGGATTTTACAGCTTTCACAACTGCATAATCTTATCCGATTCTCCATCCTTTTCTGTGGCAGTTGTTCAGCTGGCGTATTCAGCGCTAAACTAACTGGTCTTCAGAATAAATCTACTTCAGATGATCACATCTGATTGCATATAGAAACTGAATTTCTGTTGTCAAACTTCGTATATGGTGTTTGCATTTATAAATTTATTTTTCAATTGGTACCATCATTGAAATGTAACTCTTTTTCAAATCTCTGAAGTTCAAGTTCTATTCAATAATGAACTGGATATTCATAATTCTGTACTATTCATCACGTGAAGTGAACGAAATGGTATCAAAAAAAGCGAGCATCATTTGTCGTACATTGTTGGGCAGTGACTTTTTAATTGTGCTTCAAACTATCAAGGCAGAAATCCTAAAATTTCGAATGACAAGTCATTGAAGATATTTGGATTCATTTAAAGAACAAATAAGGAAATTAACTTACAAACTTTCTTTATATTTTCAGCTATGACGAGAAAATTTTAGAAATTATTGAGAGAAATCAGTTGGATTTTTAATCGTTTTGTTTAAAGAATCTAGGTGGCGAGACTCCTGATTGTATAACAAACATTTGGTGCTGGACGAATGTTGAACATTGTTCAAATAAATGTAAAGGCTCCCACGTGCAAAATGACCTAAATTTAGTTCGGGACCATTTTCATATAAAATGAAACAATTGATGTGTGAGAGATTAAAAGCATAAATACAGGCAAATATTTACCCATTAGCACTTGTTTATCTGTTTCAGGATACTAGTTATGAAAAGGTATACGTATAATGATAAATTCCGCCTGAAATAATCTTATTCATAGATTAAAGTTCTTGAAAATATAAGATTATGTAGTGTGTGGATGAATTTTGAACCATGATATCCAACAGATGACATAAACTAGATGAAGCAATGAATATGTTCACAACAAAGCTATTAAACAAACGCATGAATAAATAATTTGGAGTAAAAAGAATATCTGAGCATCCAATTGTTTTTAATAACTTCACCATCAGGCTCTTCAGTTTTAAGTCCATAGTTATTGTGATATTTCATCAAGGCTATGTGCTAACTTATCATCAATTTCATAGTAATGCAATTAATGGTGTTAATAAAATGAAACGTAAGAGAACAACCCATCATTAACGATAATAAAAGTGTAGGGCCGGCAAAATGTCACTAAGCCCTAGAAATATCATACGGCAGTTGGGTCACTGAATATCGAGCAAATCATCGATCCTCGTCAAGGTCAGGGACAACCAACCCGCATCAGTTAATCGTATGCCATGGACTGGCCCGTGCGGCAGTGGTCTCTCTTTCGCTTGTATCTACTTTAACTAATATATTTCTGTAATGACGTCCTCTGTTTTGTACAGTCTTCAAAGCATCTATGGTACCTTGATACGTCGATGGGGTAGTCCACGTAAGGTGCTAACCACGAGGTGTGACTTCGATGTTAGCTAGTTTGTCACACCATTCACGTCTAACTCGAGTAGGCGTCCGATCACTTTCGACATAGATCATCTACGTTGGTGATTTACAAAAGCAATAATAATATTAACTATGTGTGAATAAGAGATTGGTAATATCCAGTTTAATTATCTGGGGATCCAGACGTAGACCAAGTTGAACATAGAGGCTGAATATTACATCTTCTGGATACTTACGTTCGTTATAATGGAGTTGATCCTGTGATATCCTAGCGAAGATTAAATTACGAGTATCTTCTGAGACCTATTATTGGGCTAATATTATCTATACATTCTTACGGTATAATTAGATTAACCATATTTATATTCCTCTTATTATAAGCTTCGTTCTGACCTATAGACTATTATGATATGATTTACTGCTCTTAAGTTGTGTTCAGTTTATTAGTTACAGTCCCCACGTTCACAGCTATTTTTCGGCTTTATTGTGTATGAATGTTATTTCTTTTTTTATGGTTCGTTGCGGTCTGTTTGGCTTGTATATAAACCCAGTATTTCTGAAATAAATAATTAGCATAGTGGAGGCCGTTGTTGGCATTCTGGACTCAACTGGACGGGCTAGGCGAGCAACGGACCAATAGGATGCCAGGCTGATCAGACCGAATGAACGTTATTGGTTTAGTACAGTACAAGGGAGAATAAGTCTTATTTTGATTGACGAATAAATTACGTGCTAACTAGCAGGCCATAAAGACACAACAGATCCATATTGCCTCAGCTATGCAGAGTTGTATTCTACCTCAATTAGCTAGATTGTTCGGAATGTTATATTTGTAAAGAAGCTTCAATTGACCTTGATTCCGTTTGTACAAATAGTTGAAGCTTCGTTTCTAAATAAAGATTACTTCGTTTTCGGTACTAATAAAACTTTATTTAAATGAATAAGTTTATCTAAGCACGAGAGTTGTAGACACTTCTAACTGTCAGTTTCAGAGCAAGAAGTTCCACAAAAATAAAATTACAGGATCGCGATATACCGACTACAATAATAAAACATTAGTAGAATGGTAAATTGAGCTTATAATTTTGGTTCAAATTCATTAGGTGTTCCAGTGACTGTAAAGTGTGGACACAACAACTTTGGAGCGAATTGAGTAAAAACAGCGTTTTACAACGTTACAAGTACTTGAATTATAAATACCGGTAGATATATGAATGACATATTTTTGATTTTCTATTATTGACCTTAAACGTCTCATTGTCCACATCATTGTTTTAATTTTCTCTCCTTCTAATCTGATTTTTCGTCCTATGTTTTTCTACGATTTTTTTGACTGGTCGATTAGTCGACAACAACTTCTACCTGAATTTCGTGAGAATGTTTTTCAGAAGAATTATAAAAGCTGCACCACCAAACCAACCAATTCAGGAAACAAAACTCCCTCTACAAATTTCCACCATTGTGTTCTGGACTCAACAGGCAGGGTTAAACTAATAACTACTATTTTGTGGACCAATAAGGATTTCAGAGTTGACGCAAAGCTGCTAGTGGTGTTTGACTTGTCATGGGCTTAGAACAGGAACAAGGCCATATAAGTCAGTATTCTAATTGGTGGTTTTATTACATGATAATTGACAGTGGTAAAAGTCAACAATATTATTTTCATTTTCCATAGCTAGATTTGTGATGCAATATGTTTTAGCCTTCTAATTGTACGTAGATGATTTTGTTCGTGATCTGGTTGTTGCCAATGTAGTTAAGAAGTTAGTCTGTGTGGATTGATTTTCAACATACTTGTTTCTTCAGTTCTGCTGTATAGGTTCTTGTTACCAACACATCCAAAGGATGGTAGTTTATTGTTCGACATAATTTCAGTTATGAATTTAGTATCATCCGAGACATTGTTGACCAAACTGTAGATGTTTTCAAGCTCATTCATTTTGATGATGACAAAGCTTTTACTGGTCATATATATATGCAGAATTGACCGATCGTTAGATTATCCATGTAACATCTTAAAATTCATTTGACAAAAAATATTGATTGTGGATGCTTTGATTTTATAATAATAAAACTGGTTTCTAATAAGCAGTACATTCTCTTTTGATTCCTAATAACAAAAAGGAAAACAATAAAGAAATAACTATTGATAGTTATCCTGAAATCTAATTCAGACAGAGGTGAGGTAATCAAAACGATTTCTATTGAGGTATGTAAAAAATAACGTTTCGCAGACTTGTCCTTCGATTTATTTGGGATCTCATTGTGTAGGCAGACAGACATGATATTTACAATTTCAGCGAAGTGCTTGATTAAACTTCATCTTAAGCAAATTTTCGAACTCACTTGCCTGTATGAACTGAAACATAGTGAAAAATGACGTTATTTGCTTACAAGCAAGTGCGCTTACAAAGCACAAAATAACACTCGGTTGTAAGCACTCAAAGTGTCAATCAAACCGTAAACAATACATAAGTGAAATTAGACATAAACCCAATAATCCGATGGTTTATGAGGACGTTCCTGTGGAAGAGAGAAGAAAATACTACACATAAAATGTCTGTTAAGTCCGAGATGTAGTGTTTACTAGTGAACATTGGGGTGAATGGCTGGCGTAAAGCGACTAGAGTAAAAGGGTTGTCATATTACAGTTCTGCTTATTGTGGTAGGTGAATAAATGGGTGATGTTGAGTGTGGTAACCTGAGCAACCAGTTTTATTTTCTAGAGTGATTACTGATACTTGGATGACAAGAATATTCAAGAACGATCAATTATAAAATGAATAAACATTTAAAGTTCTTATAATTTCCCTTATGGAATAGGATATACTTACAGGTGTAAGCATATTTAAGCCATCTTCAGAGGCGAAGTAAGCATCAGCGAAGCGAACAAAGGATGAGAGTGATTTTATTTCACAAACTGATTGTGGTAAACTATTCTAGGGTCTCGAAAACTTACTGGTAGAGTAATTCATATAAAGAGATTTCAAATGTAACTGTTTCACCAATGATAAAACGTTATGGATGCTGTAACTAGGAGTTTCTGCATACTGAATTGCTTCATTGGATGTAAAAGATAGTTTACCAAGTATTTTGAATAAAACGATTAGATTTGGTTTGAGTCTCCTCTTCCATAAATGGTCGAGTCCAAGTTTATTACATCTGAATTTATAATTTAAGGTACAATCAGTCTCTGAATGGATTCCAACCTTAATTTATCCTTTATGAGAACACTACCAAAAATAAACGTGCAATATTCTACGAATGGTCCGACACATACTTTATACATCAAAATGCGTGACTCGTAGTTATAGAGGTTACGAATTATGCAGTCTAGAAAACGCTGAGACTTGGAAATCTGTTTCGAGACCTGTTGTATGAAGGACAAATTGTGAGAGTACCTGAGCCTTAAATCCACTGCTGTATGTAACTTGGATAAAACCTTGCCATTTATGATAAAATCTAAGTTGAGTGAAGTATCATCAAAGTACATTCATCCACATTTAGACGAGTTAAGCTCCAACATGCATTTAGAGCATCACTGGGCTACCTTGTTAAGTTCCATGCCGATTCAAATTTGCATATTGTTTAGCTCTTAGGGAGAAAATGCATTATTTCAAGATCATCTGCATATAGAAAAGACCGACCCATACAAAATATAGTTTAAAGAAGATTAAAAGAGTAAAGGACCTACGACACTACATTGTATAACACTATATTTAACCGAGATTGTATCCGACAAAGAGGAGTTTATTTGACCATTTGATGTCAGTGACTAAGGAAACAATAAAACCAAGTAAGCAGAGGGTATTTAACCCTGTAAGATGTGAGTTCGCCTATAATAATTTATTCTAATCTGTGTACATTTGACATTTTTATTCGTATAGGTCTGTGGAGACTGATTTAATGTGTACGTTGTATTCGTTAATGACTGATCTTATTTGTACTAATATTGATAAGCAAGGAAAATTGTGCAGCTGTTTCCTTTTAGTATGGAATTCCACAGCAATGTACGCCAACGATCAGTTCTAACTGGTCTTTTCAGTTTTATATCTTTGCTAAAACTTATTATAGTTAAGTAATAACGAACTGTAACAGTCTGAAATCACCAACATTATTTCCTTCAACTAATCGACAAAATTCATCAGTGCACTTCACATCCTATATTTGCAGATAATTTCATTGGACGATCAGTGAATGACCGTCACACAACTATTCAGCATTATAATCAACAGTCAATTACGACATATCGACCAACTGGTTAGAAACATTACAGAAAATGTGTTCACATAGGCTATATTAAATAGTTAATTCTCTTTGATGCAGTAAACTGCACACGATAACAATATGGTGTTACCTATTGGAAACTCGCAAGGCAAATTATTTAATATAATAAGACTTATGAGTACTGTTGTGATATTTATTAGTTTGATTTTATTTGCTTACAAGCCACCAACTGGAAATCCGGTTGATAAGCCTCGTATCAATTTTTTTGATTTAAACAATCATCAAATATAGTTACATAAAATTGAATCTTCTAAACAAAAACCCATAAACATTAGTAGTGAATATAATAAATTATCGCACCAATAGCAAGTGCACAATATCCCATTTGTAAAATTTGTTATTTTTAGAAATTCATTACAAAAAGAGGAATATATAAATTCACTTGGTATTGTTTGGCTTGTATCTTCCCATTGAGGTATTGGATTCGAGTACCAGAGTGAACATCAACTCTGTGATGCAGGTACATCCGGCTGACGAGTCCCAAAATAGGACGAAACGCGCGTCCTGGATCCCACTACTAGCCACTGTCCATCATGGCTTACAAAAAGAGGAATATATAATTTATTTAAGTTATGTAATCAAGATCTAGATTGGAAGATATTTTATATGAAGTATAGAAATATTCCAATAAAACGATAAACTGTATGATATATATAATGAATACCCAATTTATAGATTACCCTATATGTAAACGTCATTAGAAAAGTGATATTTTGATCAAATTCATTCATGTATATGTAGTTTAGTTACAAATAACACAATTTCGAAGTATTTATGACGTAACAGATGAAAATGTTCACCATTTTAAACACTGTCAAATTCATTGATACATGCCTTATTTTGGCCTTTGTAAAATATTACAATAATTATAAACTTAGAACTGTAGAGCCTGATAATAAAGTTATTGAAAACAATTGTTTGTCCAAATATTCTTCATGTTTGGATATTTTATGGGGATTTTTAAACTGATAAAATGAATAATTATAACTTAATTAAAGGCTCTCTCAAGTGTTAACATGCCAACAGTTATGGATCTATATTACAACACACAAATATATTCATCATTGAATTGATAACCTTGAATTTTATTAGGTCCAATTAACTGTGTGTATACACTTAGTTTTGAAAATAAACGTACAAAGGTAAACGAATAGTTTTAAGAAAATGCATTTTGCCATGATTTTCTCAGCTAGAAACTATATTTTTGTTTACCCCAAATGCCCTGCAACGGCCGAAACGCTCTCACATGACCACGCGTATACAGCCATTGCCAAGGAAGTCTTATCCACTGCCTTCTGGAGACGAGGGTGTTGTTTGCGAAATTGAGAGGACGAAAAGCAAATATCTGGCGCTTTAACCAGGTTGATGAATATGGAGGATTCACTTAGAAGAGTTGGAAAACCCTGATTCCAAATCAATAGTTTACATGGGCTGCAGGACCTTAAGGAAACAAATAGCGTATGATCTTATCGTTGATCACCAGCTACCATGGGACTGAATCTACTTACGTTGCTCCATCGCCTTGTGGATTAGACCTTCAGATTAAAGGTTCGGGGTGTGGCCCCCTAAGAAGACCACCTGCTTCAATCTGGGCACTCGGGCACTATCATAGCCCACACACAAATCAAGTGACTTATGTAACGTATATGTATTCGATGCCCCTTTGTACCAATATTCATATGTTCAAATAAATAAATAATATAAAGCAATTAGTCCCTTTTTCGAGTGATCGAACAATGCAATCAATGGTCATTGAACATGTGCCTAGGTGGCTTCAAAATCAATGTGTGTCAAATGATCCGATCAACGTGGGAGGTAGAAGACCAGGTTCATCGATAGTGAAACATAAAATTGACATTAATACAGCTTTTAAAGCGTTGTATAGAAATTGTCAAGGACGATTTCCCAAGTTTATTGAAGCCTTGGCTATTCATAAATTTAAACAATTTGTGGTAACCTTGAATTTACCTTAATAATACTTGGGTCGTTCTATAGCCCAGGATAACTCCACAATTTCTTATTCCTTCTATACGATGTAAAAATTGTTTCTCTCCCCTTTGTTACTTTTTTACTTGAACTTTCATTTAATTGACCTTTATTAATTTTCATATAAAATGCCCTGAAAAGTATATGTTTGACTAGATTGTTCGAAATCTATAGCACAAATACATCACATTTTTCAGATCAACTTCGTCTTCTCATTGTTCTATCGAAATAAATAGTAAATTGATAGATACACTATTATCAGAAGGGGTTTTGTGGGGATTTTAGAAATTTCACTAGTTGAAATCATGAGTCAATTGAATTTAGACCACCATGAAAAACTTGAAAGCACTATTAATCAAATGAATGTTATAATAATGAAATTTTAAGTATGTACATGATTCAAATAACAAAATATTTTTCCAATGGTTAAGATCATGAGTCAATTGAAGCTAAACCACCATGAAAAACCTGGAAGCACTGGGTGGCTGTTCCGTCCTATTGTGGGACTCCTCAGTCGTGCGCATCCACGACCTCGTCTCCTGCGAGACTCAAACCCAAGACCTACTGGTTTCGCGCGCGAGCACTTAACCACTAAACCACTGAGCCGGCATCCAACGATGTTAATGTCTAACTTATATTTTTTGTTCATTATAAAAACTTCTATTTTGACAAGAGAAAAATTATTATGATAATAAGAATATTCATAGAATATAATAAAGAAATTAAGAAACAATAATTGATTGAACGTGTACATGGGCTGGCTGTATTGAATATAAAAATTATGAAATAAGCATTCAAGTGACTGACCATTGTCTCGTTGTATATAAAACTAAAAACAACTAATATACTATCCTTATTTAAGTAGAAAAATAATTTATTAAAGGTTAATTAAAAACTACTTTCTTTTTCAATGAATGGTAAAAAAAGGAATGAATATCACATGAAGTACTTCAAGTCAACATTAGAATGATTCTTTTGTTTGTATGAATTAAATATCATTTACATGTTGAATAAATAAGATTCATTATTAAAGAAGTTTATCGTACATGACGTGAATATCTAAAATTATTTATGAAATAAGCAATTGGAATAGGTAAGAAACGAGCAACAAAATAACATACTATAGCTGTTTGAATAAAAATGAAAGTTAATAATTGTGGATGATAACAATAAGATTCAAGCATTTTTATGCCTGATGGTTTCGTATATGTTGTTTTAACATTATTTATTGCATCATTATCATAACATTCAGCTCCAATATCGGTTGCATAAGTCCCTTGAAGTGATAATTCAAGTTTATGAAATGGGCATGAATAATTTAATTGTTTACCATCAATATGATTATGAGTTTCACATTTAGTTGGCCATAGATTAACTATTTTATCCGTTTTTAAAGGTAGTTTTGTTTCATTTAGATAATAAAATCGAAGATAAAAATTATTAGATGATGATAATGAACGATGAAGTTCTACTATCAAACAACTTGCCAAAGGTGGTTTGATTCTACAAAATGAAAATGGAAGGAAACAACCTCTTTATTTAATGTATGATTAATTAGTGGAAACAAAATGAAACTACTTACATATAGGTGTGCAATACATGAACCTCAAACGTTTTTATACAAACATTCAGCAGTCTCATGAATTGATACCAACTATCCTTCTTTCTAGTTATAGTCACCTAAGTTTTTCCTGATGCATAACTTTCTCGACTAATTTATACACTATATCTGAGATATATCGAATATTATTATTTATTCGTCTATTATTAATGGCTTTATTCAATATTGTTATCCACAGTCTGATCATTTCACAACCACCACTTCGGTCTCGGACATGGATTTCATCTGTATAACAATTAATGTAAGCTTTAGAATTTTATAAAGAACTATCTGCACTAGTTGTAAAAGTCTGCAAGCCATTAACTCTTTAAAGGAGAAATTTCTTTGAAATATGAGACAGTTAAACTTTAGTTCACAAAAAAACGTGTTCGAAACAATATTTATAATTTTTGAGATGGTGGAGAAGACTTGTAGCTCAGGTGGATGATACACGTGGACGACTGCGGACACTCATTCGATTGGAAAAATGTGGAAATCTTAGACAGAGGAAACTCCAAAAACATCAGAGAATTTTTAGAAGCCCGGCACTCAGGTTAATCAGCAATCAACAAGCATATTTAAATCAATCCAACTTACCAACCAATCAGAAAAATCATGCACAAATATGGGAACAAAAATCAAACCAATGGGAGACACAACCAAAACAAAGAAGTAAACAATGACAAATTTAAGGTCAATAAAAACCAATCAACATCGAGGTGCACAGAACAAGCTGTGAAACACATATGGAGAAATTCGAACACTTCACTTCTACCTGAAGTTTGTGCCCATGATGTCGTTCAGAAGAACGATGAAAGCTCCACGACCAAACCATCCAGCTCAGATAACAAAACTCCACCAAAATATTTATAATTTCATTTCAAACGCAGATGTCATACTTTGACGATGTGATGAGACAATTAACAAACAGAGTAATTTTAGACATCCAAGTTCCATCAATCAGTGTATTTAGACAAAAAAAGAAACATCATTGTAACCGTATGGAGTTGAGAAAAAGACAATAAGCCTGAAGATCCCAGATACACTTCATTTGCTGTTTTCTTCTGAATAGATATTCTCAACTTACAGTTAATTTAAGTTGAGTTACTAAATTAACAAAGGGAGACTCGATAAGTTTTGTTTTTCCTAGCCAAGATTACAATAGATGATTACTTTGCAAAGACCAGATAATCCTATTGAACGTCCAAACTGACCAGATTTAAGTACTTTTTAAAAGCTCTTTCTATTTTGTTTACCATTAAATAAGATATAAAAGTCCTAAACAAAATATTCACTGATGTACAAGTAAACAGTCAGTTGCTAGAGATATTAAGACGATATTTCCCTTCCTAATTATCCCTTTATAAAACAATACCAGTGATAGTTCAAATAATCTTCAAAGTGTTGAGCTTCATCTCAGTCTCATGATAATACTAAATATCAATGAATACTGATGGGTAAATCTTCCAGATTTCAGTTTAATTTTAATTATACTTTTAGTTCCAATTAATTTAAACACGTAATTTCGACCGCTTTACTCATATTAAAATAATCGAGGATACAATCTTAAGAGTAAACATTAGACACTAGGTAAGAATCCCAAATCAGTTGATGAGTTAGTGAGTCTTCAGAGACTAAGGTAGTTGCGACGTGTCCAATCACCGCCAACTTTAACCCTTGATGTTGTCTGGTGTAGAAATAGGTTGGAAGCTAGAGGGGCAGATCAGGATGTGGCAAAAGTCCATAAAGTTACGGACGGCTGGATTGAGTCATGCTGACAGATGTAGACTACCTACTGGTGGCTAGCGTTATTATCATAACTAATGGTTAGAAATGAGTTTGTAGGTATCAATGGCAAGGTTGGACTTGATAGCTTCAAATATATTGAGGATTGGGTAGAAAGTTAGTAATAAATATACTTTTTGTTATATCCTAGTGAGTAGCCTGTCCGAAGCTGCTACCTTGACGCGGTGGTCGGGCTTGCCTATCGTGATGACCCAACCGAGTTATATTGGCTGGAACATATGTTCCTGTAGGTTCTACCATGCCAGGCAGGTCGATTGGAGAACGACAAGACTAAAAGCAGCAACTCAAGGTCTGAGGGCGAAGTCGTACTGCTGACTGTAGAGGGCTGTGACAGCAGTAAGGTGTTTCCCTCAGACAACCAGCATCTGCAGTGATGCTGCCTTCCCACAAGGAGGGATGGGGTTAGAAAAGTTCGACCCTAAAAGTGTCACACTCCACCTTACCTCACGGATTTCCGTCTCCGACGGTAAGGCCCTTTGAAGAACGGAGCTAACACATTAAAAACCTCCCACGAAAAGGCTGTGCGCGACCGGCCTCAAGCAGTTGTCCCTTGGGCTCTGCGGTCACGCTCCCAAGTCGTTAAGACCAACATTAATCCAGTTTCCTTTACAGGTTCCTCAAGAAATACCCTTCCACGGTATGGGCAGCCGGGAAGTGACACCAGCCCTCATACCCGTAACAGCACACGAGACCAAGTTTGTCACATTCAAATCCTTTCTACACTTCCTAATACCTCTTTTATCTCCATGACTAACCCTCCTCACGTCTATCACCTCGCACCAATAGGGCAGACGATTCGAGTACGCGGAACGCTATTCCTGGTCTCCTGAAACCACGCTCTAAACTACACGTAGGAGCTTTTAACGTCCGAACACTGTGCCGAATAGGACAGCAGGCTTCCTTAGCTTGGACTTTAGAATCCCGCGCCATCGATGTGTGCTGCGTCTCCGAAACGTGCATACAGGATCACAATGCCAAAATAAAGAACCGACTCGATTCACACTTCGTGTATCTGGAAGCCCTGATTCTGCTTCCCGTGGCCTCGCCGGCGTAGGTATAGCATTGAGTCCTAGGGTAGAATTGGCTCTCTTAGACTGGATCCCAGTAGACAGTCATTTGTGCGCTGTCCGACTAAACGGAACACTAAGGACTCGGGAAGATAGGGACACTCGTCGTTGCCCCTTCGTCGTCTCTGCCTATTCTCCCACTGACTGCAGCTCAGATGATGTAAAAGATGAGTTTTACAGAAAACTCTCCGACCTTCTCCGAAAAGCTAGGTGCTCGGATGTAGTAATAGTGGCCGGTGACTTTAATACTCAAGTAGGTAAACTAAGTGATAGGGAAAGACACCTGGGTGGATCTTATGGTGTCGTTGGTCAAAGAACAGATAATGGCGACCGTCTGTTGCAGCTATACTCAGATAACCGCCTGTTCCTTGCAAATACTAACTTTAAGCATAAGGAAAAACATCTTTTGACATGGCGACCCCATAATTCGTCCCAACGTTGGACCCAAATGGATCACATCGCTATCAACCACCGATGGAGAGGCTCGATAGAAAACTGTCGCTTATTCTAGAGCACATGCTTAGATTCAGATCATGCTCTAGTGCGAGCGCGTATTTGTCTGTGTCTTACTGGACGTAGGAAAGACGCTTCAAGGAAACTTCTTAGGGTCCTACTTAACGATAGTCCAGCTAAGAATATATTTCAGGAACAAATAGGAAAACAGGCAGCCATGTATGTGATGCCTACCTCGAGGCAGCATGGAATGATATACGAAAAGCTGTGGAAACAGCAGTGATATCTGCTATTACGGTAAACCGTAAGGTTAGGGAGCAACACTGGATCTCAGCAGCATCTATCGCACTGATAGATGCTCGGAAACTCATTCTACCTGGCTCTGAACATAATGAAGAGCGGAGTCAGCTTAAGCGCAAGCTGACAAGAAGTCTACGCAATGACCGTGAACAGTGGTGGGTAGCGAAAGCAAGAGAGATGGAAAAGGCAGTGGCAATAGGTAATAGCAGACAATTGTTCAGACTTGTTAAGGAAACCGGCATTAGGTAACCGACTGTTAGTGAAACACTCTCAGAAAAGATGGACATATTATACATTCTCAACCCAGGAGATTGGATCGATGGGCAGAACACTTTAGACATCAGTTCAACTGGCCTTCAGCCACACTTTGGTTTCCAACGATCTGTAGTCAACCTGAATAGCAAGTTAGTGTAGGTCCTCCGTCTCTTTACGAAGTTGAAAAAGCCATAGGAAATCTGAAGCGAAGGAGAGCAGCAGGCCCTGACAGGTTTACTCCTGAGATTTTTAAGGATGGCGGTTCAGTATTAGCAGTGAGATTAACTTAGGTCTTAGGTAGAATTTGGAAACTGGACGTAATCCCATCTGACTGGCGTAGGCCAGATATCCGTCTATTAACCAAAGGACATGTTTACTGCTCAGCAGTTCGTCCCGTCCTACTTTATGGCAGTGAAACATGGCCGGTAAGAGTAGAGGATATTCGTAGGTTACTAGTATTCGATCATAAGTGTCTTCGAGTAAGTAATGCAGTTGTTAGGAAACGGGTAATAGGTAAGGATGGCAAATCAATTGATGAAGTAGTGAAACTTCATCAGTTGAGATGGCTGGGACATGCGTTACGTATGCCCAACCACCGACTGCCTCGATGTGCGATGTTTTGTTGTATAGGAGTAGATTGGAAGAAAGCTAGGGGAGGCCAGACCAAAACATGGCAAAAGTCCATGAAGTCACTGACAAGTAGACTGAGTCATATTGGTAGGTGTAGACTACCTGGTTGGGGACCGCGAGATGATAGCAACCGATGATTAGAGACCTTGAATGACATGGCTCAAAATCGTTTGCAATGGCGCAGGTGCATACACTCTTTGTATTCTCACAAATTCTAATCTTCTGAATTCTTCATGTCCCTTTCTTTTTTCTCTTTCCAAATTTATTTCACTGGATTGTACTCCTTGAATAACATCTTCAAACACTAATTTTTCTGATTACAGCTTATAATTTTACTACATCTAGCACTACGGGATTTGAGTCGACCACTGCATCTCTGTGCTAATGTGGTGTGGCAACTCGAACTGATGTACATACATACGAAGTTCTACGTTGTTACTGACTGACTGACCTAGTGAGTAGAAAAACTGTATTTCTGACGTTTCGTGACTTTATGTAGGTCACATCTTCCACTTCTACTCATTGGAATATAACAAAAAATATATTTATTATAACTAGTTAGAAACTTTGGGTTGCATGGTTCAGGTGCATTCACTCTTTGTCTTCTCTTATAACTTCAGTCTCTCCATACCTAATCTTTTCTGTTACCACTGATACTGTTACTAACCTTATTATTCTGTGATTTATCTTGATGTACTAATTTGACATAGTAACTTGTACCGCTGCAGACAAATTTCTAGTTCTACGTAGTGTATGACTAAGTGACTGACTGAATTTTTAAAAAAACTACTAATTTGTTATAAAATAAATAGAATGCGGCTAGCAGACAAATCAGGGGAGCGAGTTTCGTTCTATCTCATTTATATAAACTTGTGTCATACTAGCTATATCAAGGCAATCCTCACAAAATGTACATATGCCAATCAAGAGTGATCAAATTTCAGTCGAAAGTATCAACGACGGGATAATCTCAACCATTCCAAATTGAATGAAAATGTGGTGTGTGCTACTTATATTAGCATAAGTAGTATATCATGTTAGTCGTGAACAGAAAGTCTGGCAACAGAGAGACAAGAGGATCAGACAGTAAAAAATGGAAACAGGATGCAATTTGTATGAAAATGCAAGAACAATGAAGTCTGAGTCATTTTGAGACAATCGATGGACATTTTGCAAACTAAGCGTTTACTTTATGATTGTTAGATTTTATTAACAAGTTCAGTAACTTTATGTTAAATACATTCGGTTGTCCCCACTGGTGTTCTTGTTCACTACAAAATACTAATTTCTTAGGCTTTTTTCTACAACTATCTACCACAAAAATGTCAATAAAAAAGTATTAAATTACTAGTCAATCACGTCGACAGCTAAAAATAAATGATAAAACTTCGACAGAGTATACAACAAGTTGAGATAATTTGGTTTGGAAGTGAATCATACTTGTGTATCAGTCTTCTATGGGTTTAATTGATTTGGATATGAAATCACAAATTCTTTAGACAGATTTATCTGTAATTGATGTAACTTTATGTCAAGCTTTACTTTACGTCTCTTAATTGTTTAATTTTCCATATGGAACACGCACCAACTACCTGGTTTAATACAGGAAGTCAATATTCTGTTATGACTTCCCACCAGACGCCTTCCAGATAGTCAATGATATTACTACAGTACAATTGACCCTATGAAATTTTTTCAACGGAATCAAATAATCGTCCGAATACGCGCGATTTGTTTATAGTGGAATGAAAACATTATATATATTAGGCCTCAACCAAACGATAACTAATGAGTTTTATTTTATGGGAGAACGAAAACACTGCTTGATAGTGCAGACATCTGTTGTAGACAAACAATTACAATAAAAATAACCGTTACTTTGTACCTGGTGGAACACTTTAATTTTTCCGGTGCATGCAAGGAAAACCAACGAAATAATGAAAGAGAAGAAAAAATTTTCAGCAATGTCTTATTTAAGAACAATGGGGTTAAGTACAAAACTATGGAACAGAACAAACTTTTACCTAATATAATTGAGACTTAGCTACACTGCATAACTATATGTGAACATTAACGAATACAATGAATAGATATACATTTTATTGAATATAATCTCATGAATTATAGTTAGTTCACTAAAGTAAAAATAACTAACCCATTATATACACCTAAATGGCTCATTAGAGCCGCCAGTGTGGAATCATGTGCAAAATAAGCAACGAAACGTCGATGTAGTTGTTCTGATGAATCCATGTCATGATCACTATTCTTTAGCTCTTGGTTAATACGCTCACGAAATAAATCCATAATATGACCAGCCAGCGGACCACCTCGTAATCTTGTCAACTGTGGTTTAGAAAATCGAATGAAATGTTTATAGTCCAATAAGTTAGAGCATTGTTTATAAACATCACTAGTGACCCAACGAGGAAGTGAAGGCAATGAATGATCCACCCATATTGTAACAGGATCACATATACGCCAGGCTGTGTAAAAATTATCTGAAGAACTTCTGTCAATAGGGAAAGTGTACCCTAAGTTAGTTTAATTGAGAAAGTCAAATAAAAGTATTAGCACAACAACTGTTAAACAATACAAAAAGAAAAACATTTTCATCCGGTCTATCTCATTTTTGTATGAGATTATTTGAATGTATAATGTAGGTATTTGACGCTTAACCGATCAGTCGATTGATAAAGCTTACTTTATTTAACATGCTACATGAGTCTTAGCAGTGGGATAGAAAAACTGTGACCTGTATTCTAGTACATAAGCCTCCGAAGACGACTGCTGAGTTGCACATAAGCTACCATGTTATTTCAGTTCAAATCAAACTTTGAAAAACTTGTAATGTACGTTCAGTAGTACCCCATTGTTTACCTTCCAGTAAAAATTCGTGTAAGTGATTTCCACAGAGTGAAACGAGCTGGAAATCCAGAGGAAGCCAAAGCCCATTAGGGAGTTATTTAGTGTTGGTTTAAAATTCTTCAATAGTGTACACTATAGGACCGATACATGAACGGAACATGGAACCTTCATGTCCCACAATAGGTCACTGAGTTACTTACTACAGCACTTTTTAAATTTATTATTTTGTGATCTAAGTGCTCGTTTCTCAATCTCACCGGAAAGAATCTATCCAACTCAGTTGACTTCACTAGAGGCAGCTGCCCATTAGGAATTTAGAACTTTCATTAGGAAGCAAATCACTAGTGTGCTTTGAGTTATTATTTGATCAAAGGAATGTGGTTTAAAATATTTATAAACTATATTTTCACTTCATTCATCACATATCCATGAACGTTTCTTGCTTTATACATCCAACTGTAATACATCAGTCAGAACGGCTAAGAATCCTGGCCATTCAAGGGAAATACTTCACTTCTGTTACAACCCAGTATAGTCAGTATTATAGATTCACCATCGGATCTTGAATTTACTGCTTATGATCTTACACGGTCCAAACAACCTTAGTAAACACGGTTCCTCTTAAAGCATCACGGAAGAACATCAGCAAGTTAAGTTGGCAGCTATGGTCAAAATGCTAATTGATCAATGAACACTGCCTTTAGATGAATGAATAGACAAACTTTTGCAAAGCCAAGTAAGAACAGAAATTAGATTATCTTCAAATCGGACACACGTAAAGAAAAATAACTAAACGAAATTGTATTTTACAAAAGATGCATCAAAAATGATGAGACCACGAGATACTCCACAAGTAAGAAACAATTGGTCAAAAGTAAAAACAGGCGACATAAAAAGACAAAGATCACTGAACTACTGACCTGAACTGAAGTGGCTATGGTATGTGTTACGAATTAGGAACCACAAGCTAACAATATAAGGGATGTTGATTGGTTCCAGAGATTGGGAACGACTAGAAAAAGATCAGACAATGACCACAGATGCCTTAGAAATATTGCTGGCATCTGCTGGGATCACCGGGTAAGTGATAGTGAGGTTAGACGCAGGGTATTAGGAAATGATGGTAAATCAGTTGATGAGGTTATGAATCTTCATCGACTGAGATGGTTGGGCCACGTATTACGTTTGCCTGAACACCGATTACCACGACGTGCAATGCTAACCGGTGTAGGGGATGGTTGGAAGAAAGTTAGGAGCGGCCAAACCAAAACGTGGCATCAGTGCCTGAAGTCACTAACTTCTAGTCTGAGCCATGTTGGTAGATGCAGACTACTTGGTTGGTGTCCGCGTGACAATCGTAACCAATGGTTGGAGACTCTTGGTGACATGGCTCAGAATCGATCACAATGGCGTCGGTGTATACACTCCCTGTCTTCCCTTAAACTAGGAGAATAAAATCACTTCATATCTTTCTTTCTACGAACTAATTCTTTCTTCCTATACTATATCCTTATTGCAATCTTTCTCCTATATATTACCACCTTTGACCTAACCACTCCTATGAATCCGCTATTCATCTTGCTGTGCTAATGAGGTATGACAACCTGGACCGATGCACATATGTGCCTGGTCCTACGTTGTAGCTGACTGACTGACTGACACTATTTAGTCAAGAAGTTTGTTTGGTTTCTCTCAGAAAGTAGTGATATACTGAGATTTATCGGACTCTGTAAGCCGTTGGCAAGAAACCTCTCCGATAGTTGAGAATCGACCACAACTGCACAAATCTACTTTGTTATTTTTTTCTGAATCTCTAAAACAATGTTAAGGTGTGTTTATCTATTTCCTGGCTAACAAAGCCACTACACTTTAATATTCCCGTAGCTTCAATGAATTTATTTAGTGGTAGGCTCAATCAATGAATATTGAGATGGTGGAGAATATTTCATATCACTGGTGATCCGTCTAGATAACAGCACATTACTTATGAAGACGGATATAGGTGGTCAAATACTGCAAAATGAATTGCCTCCTTAAGACATAAATTTTATGGCGTTTACATTTACCTCTACGCTGGGAAGCACGGAATAAGTAGGGTCATTTTGACAAGCAAACACTGTAAGGAATCATAGCTTTGACTTTTAATTAACTTACCAGTCGTATGCTCCAGGAGGTCGAAGAAGTTTCTCAATGTGTTTGCTTTCTGAGATACCACTGATGAGTTCATCAGATGGTGAAAAAGCCTTTTAAATTTAGGGCACTTGCTGGACATTTTTAACAGGTGATCTTCGTGTGCTAGTCTAGAAAACACAGGAGGAACGTTATTTGTGCTCTTCTTTTCCAAGTGATAAAATCCTCGGATAAAGTTGTTTGCAGACATCAGTGTTCTTTCAGTCCCAGAACTACGAAACAATGTTTCATCCTACTACTTAGGCGTTAACTGAAACACGACGGTACCTTATGATAAACTTCAGGAACGAAACCAGAATACATTTTTCGGATAATTCGACCAAGTTCTTGATGTTGTTCTGCACCATAAGTTGTTAGCTGACCATATCCCATTTTCCATAGCTTTCGATATGGATCTGTTGGAAAAGTGTGAACAGGAGACCTATCACCATGTCGACATAAGATAAATACCATCAGTAAATCATTCGTTGTAGGTATATTTTTACGCACATCTGCTACCGAACGATGATTTATCAATGCAGTTAGTATGGCTAAAGAAACCAATGCGGAGTTTACATTTAAAACGCTCAGTATGTGCGAACCAACGGAAGAGAAGCCCAAACTCATGTTATTTTGCAGTCCACTGAACAGTTATAAAATTGTTTGAGCAAAAAGATTATTCAAGAAAGCTGCAGTACTAACCAGTACTGATTTGGTTGATGGAACTTATAAAGCATGTAGTTATCTAGAGGTAGATTTCCAAATGGTTGAAACTTACTGAGCGTCTAATAAAAACAATAAGTGACCTCACCTGAAGACGAACTTGTATTTTGAAGCGCTGTTTCCAGAGCTTAGTGTTCGACGTAAAGAAAGCTAGGGTTCTAGGAAGCATCGTTAGAAATTCGCATTTTCAGTTTCAGTTTCAGTTTGGGGAGGACAGGAGGCTCGATGGCCTATGTTAGTCCTGGCAATAGTGGTCTCTCAGTTGATCCAACTTTCTTTTGAAAGAGTCGACGGATGGAGCCTCAACCACGTGCTGAGGTAGTGAATTCCACTCGTTGATGATTCGATGGGAAAGTCGATAGTCAGCTGACAAGTAATTTGTTCTCGGCTTGTGAACTTTTTTGGAGTGTCCTCGTAAATTCTCTGTTTTGGAAGACAAGAAAAATGAGGGCATATCAGGTGCAAATTTATCACTTAGCAATTTGTAGACTGTAATCAAGTCGCCTCTAGTTTTGCAATATGACAATGGGAAAAGGTTCAGCTTGGCCAGTCGAGATTCATACGGAAGCTTCGCTATTCCGGAAACCAGCTTAGTCGCCGTTCTCTGAACCTTTTCCAGGAGCTCACTGTCTTTTTTTAAGCAGGGGTTAGCCGCTTGTAAGCAGTACTCAAGTTTAGGACGTACGAACACTGTATACAAAGTCAAAAACGTCTTAGCGTCGACATGACTAAAAGCCCTACGTATTGACCATAACGTTCTAAAACCTTTGGCGGCTATTGCACGGCAGTGTGCAGTAGTCTTTAAGTCTTGACTAACGATGACTCCTGAGTCATTATATGTCTGGACGACAGGTAGCTCAGTGTTATTCATCGTGTATGTATCTGTGCCCTGATGACCGATATGCATCACAACAAACTTGGAAGTATTTATCGGCAACTGCCAGGTTTGAGACCATTCAGATAACTTCTTCAGGTCATTTTGAAGTTCTAAGCTATCACTCTTACATCGTATGGCTCTCCATATCTTGACATCGTCAGCATATAGCAAGACCGATGATGATAGGAGACAAGGAAGGTCATTTACATACAAGAGGAATAGCACTGGCCCCAAAACTGTACCCTGGGGCACTCCACTAAGCACAATTTCCCAGCTAGATAACTTTGAGTTCACCCGAACTCTTTGTTGGCGCCCAACTAAGAAGTCCACATCAATAAATTGCCTCTAATCCCGACTTTTCTTAACTTATATAACAGCCGGTTGTGCGGAACTTTATCAAAAGCTTTACTGAAATCAATGAAGGCGACGTCTACATGTAGCATCTGGTCCTTAAGAGCACACCAGCTTTCACGAGCCACTGATAAGTTAGTGAGACAAGAATAACCTATTCTGAAGCCGTGCTGCTTCTCCGAGAGGATCCGGTTTTTATCGAGATACTTAAACAGCTCCTTCCGAATAATCTTTTCTAATATTTTAACAACCACACTAGTTAGGCTAACAAGGCGGTAGTTCTCAGGTTTGTGTTTCGTGCCTCTTTTGAAGACAGGACTTACTATGGCGTTTTTCCAATCTTTCGGTAAGCGACCCTGCGTAACGGATAGGTTAAAGCATGTACTTAAAGGGCTTGCAACGAAGTTAGATAATTCCTTCAGTAGCCTAGGATGTAATTCATCGGGCCCCGTGGATTTACCTATGTCAAGCTTATTTAGCAGACCAAAGACATCGAGTTCTTTAATGGTCACGCTATCCAGTGTATGTATGGGGGGATCTGTATACCATTGATTAATGAGTTGTCTTAGGAAAACGAACAAGCTACTATTATGCAGATACTAGTTAAACATAAGTTCGGCCAATAAACAATAACCTAGAGTTAATAAATAAACAAAACTGGTCATTAGGTTAAGTGTCGGTTTTATTTACATGAAGTGGTCACTATAATAGAAAAAACAAGTTAGAACTCAATATAGACAAATCTGTTTTAGGAACGTAATAAAAAAGACATAAACAATCTGTAAATCAGGATTACAGTACCTTCCGAGCAACCTTGAGAAACGAAAACACTTGCAAAGCCCTCAGAATATTTGTTGCGACACTTCAATTATTTAAATCAGATAAAGTAATACACCATATTCATATTTATTGCTGATTTTTAAGGGTATGAACCCAAAGATACATTTTTTAGCTGCATTGATCTTAATAACAGAAATACATCAATAAGGAAAGCATTGGTTCTACTTTCAGTTTGGAAAGGGCAGGGGACTAGATGGCCTGTGTTGATCCTAGCAATGGTCGTCTCTCAGTTGATCCAACCGTATTTCGGAAGAGTTGAAGGATGAGGCTCCAATCATGTATTGAGATAATTAATTCCATACGCTTGTTATTCGATGAGCAAGTCGATATTCAGCTGTCAAGTAGTTTGCTCTTGTCTTGTGAACTTTTTTAGAGCTTACTCGTAAATTCACTGCTTTGGAAGTCTAGAAAAAAGAAGATATACCATATGCAGATTTATTACTAAGTTATTCAAGGACTGTGGTTGAGTCCTTTCTGGTTCTTCCATAGGACAATGGGAACAGGTTTAGTTTAGCCAGTAAAGCATCATACGGGAGATTTGCTATTCCAGGAATCAGTTTAGTTGCGGTTCTTTGAACCCAGTTCAACAATTTGCTCTGTTTCTTAAACAGGAGCTATCCACTTGTATGACGAACGAATACTTTAGACAAAGTCAAAACGGTTTTAGCATTCAAAGGGCTGAAAGACCCACACATTGACCATAGGGTTCTAAAACCTTTAGTGGCTATCATGGTAATCGTTACTAATCAGCTAGTAGTAAGAGGCATCCACAGACATAATAGTAGCCGATTTTGAAGTGAAAAATGTATGTTACGATAACATAAAATAATGACCTCGACTAAGTGAATGAATGTAACTTTAGGTCAAAATGACATGGAAAAAATTGGAACGAACTCACTTAAAGCAGGAAACTTTTACGTTTTTGAATAATAAGAATGTTCCAATGAGTTCTGAATGTCATAACGTGGAGAGCTCATAAAATGATGATTCGTTCGGTGAGTGATGTGATTGTGTAAATGTCATTATTTACTGACAGTACGAACAAGATTAATAATTCCACATCCGGTCATGATATTGACGATAATGTAATAATAAGCATATAGTGGTAATTTGGATCGTAATGGAACAATCCGACGAATGGATCAGTGAGAATAGTTGACATGAGGACAAAGTAACGACAAGAGAATAAGATTTGTGTATGTCCATGTCGTGTGCACAGGCTTTGCTGAATGCGTTGGATTAGAGTTTGAGCTGGATCCGTTGAGTTCGTCCACCGAATGTATCAAGTGCAGAAGTCTCTTCATCGACGTAGCTTGCTGCGTTAGGTTCGTCGTCGGCAGGGTCACCACTTTTGTGGCCCGTTATTTAGATCGGACGATGTTTGTTGACGAGCTTTCCACTTTAGTGACCCGAGATCTGACTCCAAGTAGATCGTATGTATGCTTGTTATCACCTACCTCCGTAAATAATCATCGACTTAAATCGCGTTCAGTGAATGACGGAATTAAATAAGTCAAATAACGAGAATGGACTTTTGAATACATGTATTTTGTATAGGAAGTGAATGGAATATAACTAAGCAAAGCGACGCGCAGTGGAGATGATGGGTAAGCCGACTTTACTTTAGTCAAGCGTTAATCAATATTTATAGGCACACAAAAATAAGTCACAGACATGTGATGAGTAATGGGATAGGAAGTGAACACACCTACGTGCTCATATAAAAACAGTGATAATTGATAAGCGAATAATTAACATGGTCAAAATGTGACTCAAGTAGAATGAATAGATTGAGCTGTCCGAAAGCGAGAATAAGATATATGGGCTTAACATAATATCCGACACTACACTATTTGGGAGAACACATTGACACGTAATTTACGGTATCCCATCTTGTGAATTTGATTTTCATAAAAATACAATATGTATTCCACTCGCTTTTCATTTCACATCAAACAGATAAATATGCACCAATATTTGTAGTTGAAATATGGGATTCATCTAGGTTCGACCGCCTGCAAAACACTCAAATAAGAAATATGCATCTGCCTCATACTCGTTGGGATAATCCTGGACTATATTTGAATTTTTTGCTTGTGCAAACTTCATGTCTATCTAAACCGGTTCTCTGACTACTTCGAGAGGACTTGCTATTCCGTCTGATTCATTAAACCACTGACTAGGGATTCTACTCAGCATACATTGGTTGTGAGAATATCCAACATCTGATACAATAATATCATATATGTGACCAGAATTCGCCTCATTCAGAACATATTTGCTACATTCATCAGAGAAATTACTAGAGAATTTAATTTTTTTCCAACATATTCCTCAAATTTACTGAAAATTTTATTAAAGAATAAATTCTGCATGTATCAAAACTGCATCAGGTTTCCTATCATGATTAGATTCACCTAACATATTTTCCCCAGATTTGTGAGAGATGTCATCAGAAATATGTGAATCACTAGGGTAAATTATACCTGGTACAATAACATGAGAAATCGGATAAGAAGTTGATCGACTGGTAGCTTGTGTCTCACAATGATTCTGAGTTTCATTTAACTCTGGACTGTTATGTGGCTCTACACCGCTTTTCGAAGTCGTGAATAAAAATAAATGATCATTAGATACACCTAAATTACAGTTACAAATTCTAGCATAAGTTGCAGCGAAACGAACCATAGTATTACAAACTAACTGAATGTATACAAGCTCATCACATTTAAAGCATTTAAAATTACGAAATACACATGAGTTGCATGGGTGAAACTTGCAACACAAAAAGCAGTTGTAGCGTGGAAATGAGTCGCGGCTGATTATGAACACCACTACAAGAAGAGCGCGTATCAGAAAATCAGAAGGCAGATGAAGGTTGTAACAAGGTTTATTCGTTGGGGATCTCGTGGTATCGAAATTATACCGAGATCGTGCCAAAGGAAATACAAGCGGAACCAATGGGCAAACGAGCGAGCGTACAAAGCCATAGTCAACGGAAGAATAATGGAGGAGTGATGGATGTCTTTAGTATAGTCAAACAAACGAGCACAGTAAAACAATCACCCGTACAATTGGTTACAGTAATAATTGTTTCCATTAAACTAATCGCGTTCTCTTGGTAAAAGTAGGTCACTACACATTTACCAAACTTATGCTCATCTTCGTGACCTGATTCGCAACTTCTCAATAAATTATCTGAATAACCTTGATGTTGAGGGGGGGATGACCAATTTATTGTTCAATGGGAATTTGCTTAGTAGTTTAGTTAAATGTAACAATCATACATTTAGTACGTCATTTGTATATCGTCTTTGAAGTGTTTCTTACAAACCTCACAGTTCCTTCACTTCTGTTATGGTGGTATATACTACTTATATCTATCAACATAAGTAGCATACGCCACAAAAGAATTAAATGTAGTTCTGATAGAATGAATTCGGTGTTAGCGGGACATAGACTAGATTAAAGCATGCTCAATGCATGATTGCTTTGGTGAACGCTGATTGGCTGATTCTTATCCAATCAGCACTAGTCGATAGTCGAAGAATATTCTGAAATCTTCTTATGTAAAAACTATAAATATACCGACGTTTTCCCCTATTGTGCTTCCTACTGGCTTCTGACTTGCTATTTGGAATATAATCTTTTTCCTGTTCAACCGTGTTCTGATTTGGGGACTTGTCGAGTGAATCGGTGTCCGAGAATACTAAGCAATAGGAATAGCTGGGTCATTAACCGTAAGAAAAGAGAGGTTATAACACTTGGGTATGCATGTTTTTTTTATGTTGTGTTTTGTTTTCGCTTTATTTATCCTAGCTGTAGCATTATTCACCTTTTCTCATTAATATAATATACTTTTCATCATGTATTGTTCATTAGATAGAATTACTAACTACCTATGTCTCTTATTTGTTTTTTAGACAGATTCATCCGTCTAGCTATATCAGAGTCTTGTTTGAAATGGAAAATTAGATAAACTTTGCATCTGATCAGTTAGAAGAGGTTTGGTGTAATAACTGTGACATCGAACATGGCTAGAATTATTTGAAAATCAGGAGGTATTTTTCTGCCAATAGCATACTGACATGATTTTATAAAACAGCTAACAATTCACAGTCATTCAAATTTACATTCGTAATTCAAATATCACTTTGCTTAGTTTGAAATATAATATAGTAATAATAAACACAGATAGACAGTGGTTAGCAGTGGAATCCAACCATTGCTCACCATATTGGTAATTAGAAACAAATAGTAAAATGGTCAAAACCTATCGTATATCTGATCATTGGTGATTGTCGGCAATCCTAAATGAACGTTTGGTCCTCTAAAAGTGCTTATATTCATGTAGTGACATCCTTGGAGTACCCTGTAAAGCGAGCAAGACCCCTTGAAGTAAACTATTTGCACAAGTAGTCAACTAATTTATGTTCACTAGTTAACCTAGCCGAAAATCTTTCGATACACGAATCCTTGGCATTTTGAAAAGATGAATATAATTACCATCATAACATTCGCGCTCTGGAACGAAGGTCCCGAGCTTGACTATCCCGTGAAAGGTCGTGGATATGTACCTCTGAGAAGTCCCGCATTAGAATGAATTGTCCGTCCAGTGATTACAGGTTCTCAATGGTTAGTTTAAGTACAAGGTTTATAACTAATAACCCAATAACCAGCTCAAATTCTAAATAACCTGTTTATCCAATCCTTTTGTCTACATCGTACAATCTATAGTTCAGTCAGTCTGCTCATTTGTTGGTTAGTTAATTGGGGATTAACCAGTCGTTTCTGATATCATTAACGTATAGGATACAGACAAAAATTAAAGAGACTTATTTACGCTTGAATTATTTTTATACTATAAAAATAGGAAATTTAAGAAGAAAAAAAGCATTATTGTTTAAATAAACTGGTTTATTTGTTTTCTGAACAAGATTTAAAGTGAAAATCTAGAAAAACAGAATTAATCTCATAATCCATACGATGCTACTCATATTTACCATACCTCAAAAGTTGAGTAAATGCACTAATCAATAAGGTCATTTGGCAAAAAACATTGTTCATTGAAAATTGTTCTCTACTTTTGTTTGTATTTGTTGAATGGTTTGTAAAAAAATGTCTGTTATTCAGCTATCCAATTTTGTGTACATTTTAATTTATGGATTTCTTCTTGTATTCTGTTATTTAATTACTGTAATTCAATTGTGTTTACTACTTACATTTAATTAGTAGTTTGTGTGATATTTCTAAGATAAATGTTCATTATTATGCTGTAAATTGTTTTTGTAAATAAATTATTTCATTTAAACAAACAAGTTAAATGATCTGCTATTGATTGTTGAATTAAATAGCCTTTATACATTCAAGTTTTTCTGGAACCCATAATTTAGCGACCAAAATATTAGTAGAATTCGATGAACTATTTCGACTCCATGGTGGATTATCACGATGCCAACTTAAACTATGTCCAAGAAGAATTTGTTCGGACTGGTAATAGGGATCATTAATTGTTTTCGTTTTATCATTAATATGAGAATGATCTTCAAAAATTCTTGTATCATCCCTTCGTCCCATCATCATTTCAAATACTTTATGGGGAGAAAATGTTCAAATAGAAAGTTAAATTATGAATTGATTATCATTTAAGAATGAAAGTGTATGAATTTACTTATATTATCCAAAATCTCATAAGCTAATTTCGTAGGTGTTTATTATCTAAAACGATTCATTATTTAAAGAAAATGATAAACAGAATGTTCAAACTAATAGTTATTAGTTATTCCATCAAAAGTGGGCAAGTGAAATCAACATACTAATAGAACAATTACTAACATCATATGTACTTAGGTGCTAGTTTTTTAGAGATTTGTACTGTTTGGAGATGGCATTTGTCAGAATTTGACATCAGACAAATAGTTACTGAAAACTAGACTGTGTCAGGCATCTGTTTTTCCCTGTATACAACTCTTTAGTGATCTTAAACAATCCATTACTGAAAAATTAGCTCGACAGTGAAAGTGGGTAAATATTTTATTTTATCCTGAAATGACTGGAGCTGTAGTTGTAGAGTAGGAATTCCGCATTCCATCTTATGCATAGTCCCAGATGACCACCTTTGTGCAACTATGATCTGAGAGAAAATATTTATGTCAATGCGCGCTGGTCTTTAATGACTCCATATTTTATATACTGAAACTATTTGGTAACCAATATATCAAAAAGTACTAGTTATAGACTAGAATAGCTTTCATATCGCCTTAATCACTTGTATTTTGTTTACTGTAGTCCACATACTTGAAACCACTAAAAGAATAACAACTGAATTCAGGGTAATTCATAAATAAATATTATCATTTTTCGAATACCCTGTTTTAACAATAATGAATGTTTACAGGTAAACATAATGAGGGCTATCATTGTTAAGATTGGTATGGTTGATAGTTTTCAACACTTATGTCAATCAGACACTAGATTACCACAAATAATGGCATATATGGCAATATATTATAGTTACTGGTTAACATGAATGTGAAAACTATATTCTGTACACTTTGAATATGTTTATTTTGAATATGTGATCTCTGTAGATTTGTCAGTCATCACTTTCTAATTATGATGTAAGTGGAGCAATTAGAGCTGCCTGCAGTCGATCAAAGTTAAATATTTCATTTGCTATTCACCTAAATTGACCTGTGATGGATAAGAAAAACAAAAGTAACTCTTCTATATTTGCTTCTACGGATAATCATAGTCATCTTGAAAATAAAGAATACATGGATTTCGTAGGTTGAACTCGTTTATTTCATAATAATTTCCGTCACATAATTTTACCAAACTCCTTACTCAATATTAACATAGTAGTCTTCTCAGCTATTCTCAGCTACGTTTCAGTATGGCCCATACATTTCAGACAAGTAATTATATTACTACACTTAGTATTATACATTCATCCTCAAATGTAACGAATTCATAGACCCTTTGAAAGCATGAAGAATGAAACAACTGCTTCATAATAAAACAACTGTATCCTCACTAGTACTTAGTCATGACCGCTCACAAGATCAAACTTATGGCCTTTAGATTTTATACGTATTACCATATCATCTAATCAGCGTTGATAACAAATGTTTCGTATGTTCCGAATTCTGTCTCTACAATAATTCCCTAATTGATATCTACAAAATATTTTAATAAATTTTGTATGTTCATTTCATTATACTTCCATCTTATTATACCTCATTTCGTTTTCTACGTTTATTTTCATCGTAACAATAAAAAAGGTAATCTTATTCTATTTAACCAATTAAACTTTTTGATTATACAAGAACAATTTAACATAAATGTTGAATGCCGGCTCAATGGTCTAGGGGTTAAGCATTCACGCTCAAGACCGATAGGTCCTATGTTCGAATCTCTCGAGGTGAGACCGTAGATGCGTACTGCTAAGGAATCCCATACTAGGACAAAACAGCTGTCTAATACTTCTAGGTTTTTCATGGAGATCTAGCTTTAATCGACTCATAAATTCAACTAATACAATTACTATACTACTCACAAACCCCTCCCCACTCTGAATATAAATGCTTAATATATTTAATAATTAACAATAAACAATTATCAATGAACTATTTTACATCATACAATAAAAACAACCTAAAATGTTAGCTAATTATTTATCATCTTGTATGAGATCAGAGGAAAAAAAGAATAAACAAAAACAAATAGTAAACCATTGTTTATACATCTTTAAATGTAATGAACTCATCATTAATTATGACAGATAACCTGCTGTTTATACACTGATAATCTTAATACTTTCTAAACTACTTAGACACTAAATTAAACTGGAACTGGACAATATGTATATACGATTAGTTTATCTAATGAATAAAAGCACAAAAATTGACATGACATGAATAATTAAAAAAAAGGATCAAACTATTAATATGTTTACTGTGAATGATTACTGTAATCAAAGCGTAATTAGTTCAACAGTGTTAGATGACCTTTCATTGAATATGTCTTGAAACTAAGTATAAAATGGATAAACAATACTATTAAGACAATAAAAAGGTAAGTTATAATAAAGTAATTACTGAAATCATTCATAGTCTGAACATTGAAAACAGTTGATGTTTTCTTTTTATTCATTAGTTTAAAATAAACAAACAAACAATGACAATCGCTTGATAAAAGTGTGAATTTATTGTAAAAACAAAAACAAAAAGAGCTTCATATGATTAGAATTATATGAGTTTGTTTTAAAAATTTAGAAAAGTTTCAGTAATTTTGAAAATATATCGTATTTATAAGTTATGATAGATAGTGGCTAACAGTGAAATCCAAGACGTGCGTTTCGTTCCATTTGAGACTCTTTAGTGGCCCGTGGATCTGACGACAAAAAGATTGTAATGAATGTTTTTTATCGCCTATCCTCATATATAATCATCGAATTAAATCGCGCTAGTCAATAACGGAATTAGATAAGTCAAATAACGAGAATGGACTTGTGAATATACATATATTTTGTATATAAAGTGAATGGAATAGAGAGAAAAGAAACGACGTAGAGTGGAGATGGCCGGTAAACCAACTCCCATTTAACCAAGCGTTAATCAATATTTATAGTTACACGAAAGTAAGTTACAGACATGAGATGAGTAATGGGATAAGAAATGTACACACACCTACGCGCTCATATAAAAACAGTCAAGATTGATAAGCGAGTAAATAACAAGGTCAGAATATTACCCAAGTAGAATGAATGAAATGGTCTGTCCGAAACCTAGAATAAAATATATAGGTTTAACATAATAACCGACACTACAACTCTTAAGCTGGATGTACCTACATCTCAGAGTTGATATTCAATCTGAGACTCGAACTCATTACTATTCGCTTCAAACGTCATCGCATTTGAAGACTTAAGTAAACAATACCAAGTGAATTTAAACTTCATCCCATCGCATAAACAACTGTCTATCAGGACTCAATAACTATGTATCCCAAAAGTGAATATCAACTCTGATATGTAGATACATCCAACTGATAAGTCCCAAATAGAATGAAACATGTGTTCTGATTTCCACTGCTAGTCACTATCAATCTTAACTTATTCATTTTATAATTTCAAAGCAGAATGTCTCTGCTTCTAGATCATTATCAATATTTTTTCTATCAAAATATAAATACATCACAAGTAAAACTTCTTATAACAAAACAGACCGATTTCATCTGTTGTTACAACATTTTTTTCACATAAGCAATATATATGTATATGGTTTCGTGATTTGTTTACCGAACACATGAACTAAGATAATAATGGCTGATCATTTAAAATGATCTGATTACTAAATTACTTTAATTATTTAAATATAACATCTAACATTAGTTTATCAACAATAATTCATACATGTAAATACCTTTATGGTTTTGCATAAATATTAAGTAAAAAGAAGAAGAAACAAATAAACAAACAATCCGGGTTCCAATCAATTATCATTTATATTTCTTTTATCTTTTAAATAACTGGACATATAAACTAAAAGAAAAGAAGACATAGCAACTATTTTAAAAAAAATTAATGATTGGCACATGGATATGAAATATCATTAGAGACAAATAAGCGGGATTTTTCGATCTTAGTAAGTTATTATTATTTTTTTTTCTGGAAACTAAAGTAAATCCTAACAAGTAATCCTATGTAGATAGTAGTTAGTTAGATTTGTTCCAATTACCCACTTCCTAATAAATAGACCATAAGTAACATGCAAATCAAAATAATATTTATGACTGAATACATTTAATATGCATATACATATATAGTTAATAATTATTCAATGAGAGGTAATGTTTGTTTTGGTTTATTTTTGGACTTGGAAACACTCTCTAGGTACCCGTATAATGAAATAATTTTGATAAATAAGGATTAAATTACTCTAATATGATAATTATTTTTAAAAAATCTGTAATATATAATAATTATGTTTATTAGCATAGTTAAAGTGCATTCCTTTTTTATAATGAGGTAGCACAAAAAGATGAATACTGACACTAGGTGACATGAAACATTGATAAGATTGTATACAACTAGTACATTTATACGAATATTGAGGTATTTGATTAAACATGTGGCTGATTAATGTTAGGTTTAATAAGGTTTAAATCATTTAATGAGGTTTGTAAGCCCCTAGTTACTGGAATAATTAACGTATCTTTTAACTTTTTTGCATTTAAAATGTGACAATTTTAATCGACATACTACTGAATCACTTTACGTATGTTATAGTTATCAAATTAACAGAACGTTATTCAACACAGTTATTCTTATTTTCCTTAAAAAAGGTGTTATTAGCTCTGATTCGGATTGAAGAAACGACAGTAAACCTTAGGAACCGTAATTAACTTTCTTAAAACAATGTAATCTCTCTATCTGGTGTGAACTGTCCAGTCTAATATCTAACTCTTTAATAGTCTAGTGTAATTGAGATCATGAACTGATCAGTGTTAGACCACCAATAAAACCTGGAAGTACTAATTGACCATTTCGTCCTAGTATCGGACTTCCTATCAGCATGCATCCTCGATCCCGCATTTGAGACTCGAATCCAAGACCATACGTCATGTGCGCTTATGTTTAACACCTAGATCACTGAGCCGGCATCCAATGGTGTTTATGTCCAATCTTAACCAATCTAAGATATTGTGAGACCATCTAGCATCGCCTTACACTCGACATGGTTGAACTTCACTGGTCAATGGTTTCTTGCTGAAACTCCTAAAATTATTTCTACAGATTATTGGTCTAACAATGATCCACTCAAGAACTCAATGAAACTCAACAATCTCCACAATCCTATACTGATAATAATCCAGTGGTTATGAAAAACTCTGATTGATCTTGATCGCATAAATATGAGTTTAATTAAGTGCGATAACCACTTTACTTGATATCTTAAAATGTAACACGATAACAACTTATAATGGTTATAGTGATTCATTTACTATTTTCATCTGTTATTCTAAGCTTGATCTTAACATGTATGAGATTATTCTTTGAAAAGATTATTAATCAACCGATTCACTCTGATCAATCTGATCCTCTACTTTCAAAATGATATTTTATATCCTTGAAATAATATTGATTGAAATATGGTTCATTTTTTGTTACTATTTAATAAGTAGATCGGGGTAAGAGAATGCTTACATACACTGCTTTACAGAATTTGGGGATGAAACTTGGAGAACTACTACAACCACCATCAAGAAGGTACAGGTATTTATAAATAGTTGTCTACACAAGATATTCAACATCCATTGGCCGGATACCACCATCAACAGCCTAATGTGGGAGAGAACAAACCAGGTTCCAGATGAAGAAAAAAATTAGGAAAAGACGATGGAAATGGATAAGACATACATAACGCAAATCATCAAACCACATCATAAGGCAAGCCCTAACTTGGAATACTGAAGGGAGGCGGAAAAGAGGAAGGCCAAAGAACATATTATGTCGGTAAATAGAAGCAGATATGAAAAGCATCAATAGGAACTGGAAGGAGCTAGAAAGGATTGCTCAGGACACGGTTGGATGGAGAATGCTGGTGGATGGCCTATGGTCCTTCAAGAGGACTAACAGGCACAAGTAAGTAAGTTTACAGAATTACTTTTATGAACCAGAATAATAATAATAATAATAACCAATTGATTTAATAACCAAAAAACAGTTAGCTTTAACTAACAAGAAATCACTTACATTTTTTAGGTAAATTTAAAATAATCTTCCTTTCTCTATTCATCTTACTTTCATCTTTTAAATTATAATTTGAACTAAGTTTATTCATTGTAAATGAACAATTTGCTTGTAATCGATCATGTTTTAAATGACCAGAATATATAGATGACATTTTTGTAAATGATGTAGAATGGAATAGATTTTTCTTAATCAAAATATTATTTTCATCACTTTCCATTGAAACATCTTCATTACAATCTTCATCTTCATCATTATCATTATCATCATCATAATCATTATGATTTGAATTTGTATCCGAATTTGTATTGATATCTTTCCAAGTTATTTCATCTTTTGAATGAGATTGAATAATTTCTTGTAAGAAATGTATATAACCAATTGCTAATCTAAGTGTATCTACTTTAGATAAACGTTTCTCATAGGGTAATGTTGGTATATGGGATCTTAAACCTATGTTTTTGTTTGTTTTAAAAAAAGAAATGAAAACAAGAAAACACTTTATTCATTTAGATTGGATAACTGTTTATGATAATTAACTATATACATAGATAGGTTGATAAATGCTTAATATATAATATTTACTTGAAACTTTTCATTGATCTTTACGACTGAAGTTGATCAGTAGCTAAGTGGATAACGTAATGATGTTTGAAGTGGACGGTACCGGGTTTAAGTCCTGGAGTGAATATCACAACTCTGAAATGCAGGTACATCCATCTGATGAGTCCCACGAGCACACTATTATATGATTATTGATTTAAAGAATGGGTTTTTGCAAACTATTCATTTAGTTAAACATCTATTTAAACAAACGAGTTTCTATATATTCTAAGAAATAATCTGCCTTCATCTTGTTAGTCTTCATTATGAAAATGTATATTCAACAGTGAAAACACCTGATGCTGAAATAATCAAAATGTCACTAACCTTTAGTTAAACTATTTCAATTACGAAAAACTAGCTGTAGTTAATGATAATCGCTGTTACTCATGAAAAGTTAACAAATATGTCCCATCGTGTTATATTGAAATAGAATCTTAGTAACAAGCTGACCTATGAGATACACAATAAACGTGGTTTAATTAATAGCTATCCTATTGAGTTATCTGTATTATTGTTGCAAAAATTCATGTTTAATTGATAATTGATAAGACATAGAATGTCTGATAAAATTGTGATATAAACACAATTAGTCTGTTTAAACGAAAAATGTATATAAGCACACATATATACTTAATGCTGACATATAATAGCTCGATTAATTCTATTTATTTATCACAACAGTATAACTAAATATATTCTGAAGAAGTGACTTACACTAAGTCACGAAACATCAGAAATACAATTTTTTCTACTCACTACGATATAACAAAACATATATTTATTATTTACATATTTCCAGGGGAGTTTGGTGGACATTATAGTGATTTATTAGTTGAGATCATGAGTCATTTGAAGCTAGACGATACTGGACGGCCGTTTTGTCCGAGTATGGAACTCCTCAACGGAACGCATCTAAGATCTCGCCTCGCAAGGTTCAAACCCATGACCTATCAACCTCGTGCGTAAACGCCTAACTAATGGGCCACTAAGCCGGCATCCAGCAGTGTTAATGTCCAACTTCAACTGATCCACGAAATTGAGCCACCATTCACCATTGTCATCAGTACTTCGAAGTTTTTCATGGTGGTCTAACTTCAACTGACTCATGAATTCACTTATTAAATTTGCATATTTGTTTTAAAAATATTTAAAACAATTAGTCCCTCTGATAAACTTCATCTTCTCATTGCACTATTGAAATTTAAAAATATTTCCTTGACAGTTCACCCCCTCCCCACCTCACTTCATTATAAATGGTACATGTAAAATTACCTTTCAAAAAAGGGGGCGAGTATTTTTGTTTTACTTATATGTATAGATGGAATGAATGTTAACTTTCATTCGTTCACCTTTTTTATTTTTTATTCAATGTAACCGAATAGTTCACATTTTTTTTCTCTCTTTAGAAACATCTGTCATCCTGTTTTCTTTTTCTCTTGTCTTATGATTTAAACAGTTTTACTTTGTCACAACAACAACAACAACGAAAAAAAGGTGAAAATGTTACACATTTTAGAATAGAAGTTACGTTTATTTATTATTTATCTATAAAACGATTAGTATCAATTCAGAAAAGAAGAAACAAAAACACAACCGGTAATGTTCACATTATCAACTAATTTGGCTAACCTTCAAATGCTTTATTAATTGATTGCATTCGTCTACGTTCACGCATATTCGCTGCTTGTCTTTGAAATGAATGTAAATTATGATTCTTAAAATGTCCAGTTTTTCTTATATTCATAATTTTAATACGATTTGATCGATATAATAATTTATTATTTGATCTTATTGTAGATAATGATTTTATTCTATTATGTATATTAGTAGTAGTATTAGTAGTAGTATCATTACTATTGAATGAAATACTTGAACCATTTGATGATTCATTATCTAAATCATATAAGAATTCATTAGAATTATCACAATTTCTATTATTATTATTATTCATTAAGATATTTGATTGTATCAAGTTTGTATTGAATGGTAATATAATATTATGATTATGTTTCATATGAAGAGATTTCAATAGATTTGTATTGAGATATCTACTATTACTATCATAATCATTATCATTAAGATGACTACTATTATTACTATCAGTAGTATTAGTATTAGTATTATTGTTATTAAATACTGAACTCGACCATGTATTGTAACCCGTTGGTGTACATTGATGATGATCAAGGGTATAGTTTGAAGAATTACATAATTGTATTGTATTAGAATCAATTACTTCAGAATTGAAATATTTCTCATTTAAATTAAATGATTCATTATTTGATTCGAGATTAAAATCAGTTAAAGGTAATTTAGATATTAATTTATGTGTTGTCAAGTTAATAGATTGTTGTATAGGTGTAATGAATGATTGATTCATATTATGTGTGGTTAATTGTTGTTGTTGTTGCTGTTGCTGTTGTGTTTGATTTGTCCAATATTGTTTCATATTATTAGTAGTATTAGTAGTATTTGTAGAAGTGGTAATCATTTCATTATGATAATTATCCATAATAGGTGTAAACCAATGTTGAATAGAATTACGTAGAATTGAAACTGGTAAAGATTTAGTATCGAATGTCACTGTAAATTAAAATGTATGATATATAGTTACTAAATTATATCATGGTTATACTATTAAGTACTGTTAAACATTAATGGTATTCTCTATTATGATTTTATATTTCTTAAGTTTAAATATAACTTGTAGGTTGAATTAATCTTTTTCGAGGTATTATTTGAAATCATGAAGGTGTAGATGTATGTTTCAATCTAGCATGGGAATCCTGAGCAGGATGCACCAACAACTGAGCTAGAGATCGAACCTAGAATCTTCAATTGTTTGAGTGAATGCTCGATTATTAGAATCATTAGATCAGCCTCAATGATGAAGTTTAAAATTCTATCAGTACCTGATATAGATCTACAAAATCAAGAATTCAAGTGGCATGCTTATTGTCCAGTCACTTGATACTCTTATAGATATACATTTACTAACTGAACACTGTATATTAATTGAAATTTCTTTGTCTAATCCTCAAAGTTCATAGAATTCTATCAACGTAATGTTGTCACTAAACTAAATTATTGAACTTCTTTATACGATTTTTTCACTTTGAGCTTCTGAATTCCCTTGACAGAAAGCTTTACAATTAGATTTTATGATAGTTAGCACTTATTAAACAAAGAGTATTGAATTTTCAAGAAGTAAACGTTTAAATGTTGAGCAAAAAGTATTATATGACTTAATTTTATGGCTTGAATTATTTTTTTCTGGTTAGTGTTTTTTTTTAGCGAGTTCCACTGATAAACATGGTGGATCTGATGTAGATGTGTAGTCGTGGATAGACAAAGCAACACTAGCATATCTACAACTGAAGAATATCTGGAACTCAAAACAACTGTCTGTCAATCAACACCAAAGTCAGAATTTTCAATACAAATGTCAAGACAGTTCTACTGCATGGGGCGGAAACTTGGAAAACTACGAAATCCATCATCCAGAAGGTATAGGTGTTTATTAATAGTTTTCTACGCAAAACACTTCGGATCCGTTGGTCAGACACTACCAGCAACAACCTACTATGGGTGAGAACAAACCAGATCCCAGTGGAGGAAGAAATCAGGAGGAAGCGTTGGAAGTGGATAGGACACACATTGAAGAAATCACCCAACTGCATCACAAGACAAGCTCTCACTTGGAATCCTCAAGGCCAAAGGAAAAGAGAAAGACCAAAGAACACATTACCCCGAGAAATGGAGATAGACATGAGAAAAATGAACAAGAATTGGATGGAACTAGAAAAGAAGACCCATGACAGAGTGGGTTGCAGAATGCTGGTCAGCAGCCTATGCTCCATTAGGAGTAACAGGAGTAATTAAGTAAGTAAATACGTAATTCGCCATTACCTTTAAACTAACTGACAATGGATTAGGACAATTTAATCTTGTTGAGAATACTGAAACTTTACTACATGTTTTATGTCACTCAAATTTTCAAACATTCTTATTACCTATACAATCAGTTGTTCTTTCTTCGTAATTCAAATTCATAATGATATATATGTTGTAAAGTATATGACATATGTCAACATTACACATCTATATTATTTTAATATAAGGGTATCTACTATTAGAACATTATCCATCTTACTTTTTCATCAAAAAATAAGGGAAAAATAATTACAGATCTTAATCCATTCAAATAATGTCATTCTAAAAGAAAAAGAAGAATCATTCTCGATATCTATCAATTTGTTTCTTCCATCAAAATTAGGTTTTGGTCCTATAAACAATTGATGGCATTATTTTAGTGTTCGATACTATTAGGTGATAACCAGCATATTTTGTCTCTTCATAATCCACTGAATATTTTCGTTATGATGACATATTAGACAAAAATAACCTTTGGTAGTCATCGTCTGTATCCCTTATTCGATGTTGCTTAGAATTATTTGTTCTATTCTACACCTCCACCCCCCGCCTCTCTTTTACTTTTTTTTTACAAAAAATTAGCGTGTCACATTAATTTGTTTCCACTGAATAGTTTTTAATGTTTGTTTTTTTATTATAAAACTTATACTATTCCATGCCATTTTTATATAATAGACTTGATCAATATATTTTAAAAGTTTTTTTTAATAGTCTATTAAATGTTGTCCTTGTTGATGAGATGGGAGAAATGTCAGCTGGGCTTATGAAAAAATCTTATGGAAACATCCCACTCCCATTGAAAGTAAAGAATTTAAACACCACCAACACTCCCATAAATATCGTCATCATCATTCTTTTTTTTTATACATAGACACACATAAACACACATTAATTTCTTCACGTTTTTAGAAAACTCTATTATTCCTTCGTAATATAATGCTACTTCTCATTCTCTGATATTGTAATCTATCCCCCGCCTCTATTAGACATAAACAAACACTTAATTCATGTATACACATACATAATTAATCCTCCTCTAAAGAAAATTTTTTTCTGCTTTATAATAGTTTACTAAATAGATAAGTTATCTATCTATCTACCTTGAAGGCAGAAGTACACATAGTGTAAATACTGGCCATTCAAGTTTTAAATCATACTGTATACAAATATGTATATGTGTATGAATGTTCACTGAATGAAATATTCTATTCTGTCTCTTTTTGTGAAAGATAAAATTAGAAGCAAAAACAAAACAACATCTGTGGTAATTCACATGTTGTTCTCAAAAGGAATAATAAGGAATAAATATTACACCTTTCTCTGTTGTTGAATGCTTGTGTGTGTATGTGTGTGTGTGTGTTTGTTGTTGAAAATTTAGGTAAAATAAACTCAAGAAAACTAAATTTATAAGACAAACAAATTATACAAATAAATCATTTACTAATTTGATAGTTATGATAGTAACCAACTTGAAGTGTTTCAACGTAAAACCATATCTTATTAGAAACGAATTAATAATATAATCGATTTGATGTTAAATTATGAATTAAATAGTCATTTTTAAAGTTCTATTATTCGTAATGGTAAGATGGTGGAGAAGATTTATAGTTCAGATGGATGATTTTGATGAAGTTTTGTTCTTTGAGCTGGATGATTTGATCGTGGAGCTTTCATTATTCGTCTGAACGATATCATCAGTACAAACTTTAGGTAGAAGTGGAGTATTCGAAATGTGTGTTGATGATATCGTTCGAAAGAACGATGAAAACTCCACGATCATACCATTCAGCTCAGAGAACAAAAAATGATAAGGGATTCTTTAAAATGAACTTTATTAGAATTTCACTACAGACTTTATCAATAATTTTATAGATTTGTCGCTGAATTAGATTACTTTAGTGGAGTTTTGTTCTGTGAGCTGGATGATTTGGTCATGGAGCTTTGATCGTTCTACTGAACGACATCATCAGCACAAATTTCAGGTAATGATGTTTTGGCCTAACTCATTCTCAACAGTTGACAAGGATTACCTAGATGATTGATATTAATAGTGTCTTTTGTTAATCAAAAGCATAATTTAATGAATAACATAAGAATTTTTGTTTAGAAAGTCCACGATTTTTAAAATTATTTCAGTCTAATCATCAGCTTTTGTTATTTAGTCCAACTTCTTTTAACATTTAACTATATTGAACTCAAAATGAGATATGATGAATTACTTGAATAGAAAAACATCCAAGTCTACACAACTCCTCGACATAAACTACAATCTAGTCAGTATTAATATACATAGTGAATAAGTTGAAAGAGCAAGGCAATCAACAATCTAAAGGTATATATTCGACAAATAATCCTGAATGCTTGTAAAAATATGTACTATTTATTAGTGAACCGCTTCTGTAAATAGGGAAATCGAGTTATCAGGTTAATCAGTGGATAAAATTGTTCTTACCAAATATATGAAAATATCATTATGAAACTGGTATGGAAAGCAATAAGTGACCAAGATCATTAGATTCTAATTTTATAAGTTGACAACCATTGATAGTTTAAATATCAGTTACCTGTGTTCATTTTAAGTTAAATATACACAGGTTTAACTGATGAGCCCCAAATAGGACGAAATACAGTTCTTGAATTTCACTTACAAATACTATACTTAAATATTTTGTATATAAACATATTATTTCTGTTATAAATTAAGACCCAGTTTGCTGATTAGTTGTTCTGTCATTCAATATCCATTCACTGAAGATGGCTGTTGAGTCAATAGTTTAGTTTTTGTACTCAATCAACACTAGGATGTACACTAATCTTATCTAGTTAAAGGGAATGATTGAATACCAAAATAATTCCCACAATATTCTTTCATTCTAATACAATTTACTAAGTCGAACTGGGAAAAAATGTATATTAAATTAACACATTGTCATATTATTTATTATATTACTATAAATCCAGATGGTAATTCACACAAGTAGAAGAATAAATGTCTGTATACCACTATTATTATTATTATGAATGTCGTTGATATTAATCTACAACATTCTGAATTTCATAAAAACAACAGAATAATTAAGTACAATAGTCCATGCATTCACTCAGTAATGAATCGAACTTGCCAGGATTCGACCCTGTAGTCTCCTGATCGGTAGTCAGGCGTATTATCCATTGCGCCACAGGCCCTTTGTTTATTCAGTTAACTGAGATCTTGAAAGTATCCAACTGAGTTAATAAGTACTAAAATATTGATTGGTAACTGAAATTAGCAATTATATTCACTTTATGTTGTTCTACTTGTACCTTCCGACTGTTATTTAGGACTGCACTTGATCAGTCTCTTGTTGGCATATGTGCATCCTGTGCAGACTGCCTTGATATTGCATGAATTCATAAGCTTTATAAGCAAAGATGGATATTGGCTAGCATTGGAGTCCATCAACTCTGAAATGCAGGTACATCCAGTTGATGAGTCACAAATAGGACTTAAAGTGCCGCCTGGATTCCACTGCTAGCCACTATCTATCTTTGATTATCAATTACAATTTATACAAGAATGATGAGATAATAAATAGTTGACAGTGGGTGAATAACCTCATAAGATTGATAATAAAAACTCATTATATTCTTGTGAGAAATTTGTACAACCATGACCCCACAGGTACAATTATTGTTATCTCTGTACATTCAGATCACTAAATTGTGAAATTCCAGTTGTTCAAAAATACAACTTTTGTTGTCATGGTAAATTATAAATTATTCAAAGTTTTCGAAATCTCACTTATTACCTGAATAATATCAACTTCACTGGGAGATCTTGAAGTACCAAGTTCAATATCATATAATATCATATATGAACGATTTCGAGGGTTCTTTAACTAAGTTCAATTACCTCATCAATGTTTATTGATTTTCAGTCGATCTCAAACTGATTTTGATCTGTGATAAAAGTTATTTTCGAATTATATGATTCTTTTCACAAAATATTCTAGTAAGTTATCATTTGTCAAATTAACATTATTAATCTGTTCAAACTTTTTCCATTTTATTTCTTAAAACTAACAAAAATAATGAGAAAGTAAAGTTTGTATACACTGGATCAGGTTATTCACATCATTTAACTCAAGGAAACATAAATTCACTTGGCATTGTTTTGCTTGTATCTTCCCATTGAGGTTTAAGACTGCAGTTGATCAGTCTCTTATTGGCATATGTGCATACTGTGCGTATTGCCTCGATATTACCTTAAGTTACAAGCTTTATAAGCAAAGATGGATAGTGGCGAGTAATGGAATCCAGGATACGCGTTTCGCCCATTTGGGACTTGTCAGCTGGATGTACCTGCGTCACAGAGTTGATGTTCACTCTGGGACTTGAAGATTCAAGCAAAACAATATCAAGTGAATTTAGATTCACCCCAATGCACAAGCAAGTGGCTACCAGGACTCAGTAGCTAAGTGGATAACGCGATGGCGTTTGAAGAGAACGGTACTGGGTTCGAGTCCCGGAGTGAACATCAACTCTGAGATGCAGGTACATCCAGCTAACGATTCCCTGATAGGACGAAACGCGCGTCCTGTATTCCACTGCTTGCCACTATCCATCTTTACTTTAAAAAAAACAAGTTTATGATTGAAACCTTTTTTAAATTAACTAGGTTTAAGCTAACGAGAATTACTAAACACAGCATTACTAATATTTCTGATGCTGTTTTCCTATACGCTAAAGCAATCGTTTATATATATATCAATATGGAACATAATAAAGGTGTAGTATAGATGAGATGGTGTTTATGGTATTTAAATAGAATCCAAATAGTAGTGATAGACTGTTAATAATGTAAAACTTATACCCCTTAAACAAAATCTAAGAATAGTTGACAAATTATTCAAAGCATGTGAGTGGATAAATATAGTTTTTTAATTACAATTTTAATCTAAATTTTTTGAACAAAGCTCTCCATAACTGCTGACAGTTCTTCTTTCAAAAAGAAACCCTTAATATCTAGAGTTATATAATCGATCGCATATCTGAATCCAATCAGCATTGAAATCAAATTTATGCTGAACAGTAAGTCTTCATCTCTAAAATTTTACCGAAATTATTTCTTTACTGACTAG